AAAGTATAAAGGACCATCACAAAAACAAGTCGATATATTTTATAAAGAACTGAGTCTGTGCAATTCTAAACCTGCAATTTTGTCTATAATACCTCCTTATGACGATATTTATATTCCAAAACAACATTCTAACTTATTACCAAAAATGTTATCTGAAATTTACGATACAAAGTTATTAAAGAATAGTTTATATTGAGTTATGTCAACACTGTGAAAACATTGAATTTAGTCAAGTTACAGAGGAACAACAAAAAGCTGTTGAGGAATTAACAAGAAAGCAAGCACTATCAAAAAATTGCTTTTTATATCGTGCTGGCAGAATTACTGCATCAAATGTTTACAGTGAAATGCATTCTAATCAAAAGAAACAAACATCGTTGATTAACAAAATTTGCTATCCTGTAACTAATAGCTTTTCAACGCAAGCTACAAACTACGGAAACATATGTGGGAAAAAAGCATTAAGTATTTACACAGATGCTGTTAGTGCCCACCATAAAAATTGGAAGATTTCGAATTGTGGTTTATTTTTGTCTACTGAGTATTTTTATATAGGAGCATCACCTGATGCAGTTGTTTATTGCTCTTGCTGTGGTGATGGGTGCATTGAAATAAAATGCCCATTTAAACATAAAGATGATTTTATTTTTGAAGCTGTTGAAAAAAATAAAAAATTTTGTTTACAAAATATTGATGGTGTTACAAAGTTGTCAAGAAACCATCCATATTATTATCAAATTCAAACACAGATAAACTTATGCAAGAAAAAGTATTGTGATTTCTTTATTTACACCGAAAAAGACTATCACAACGCATTTTCCCTGATATAAAGTTGTGGGAAGATATCATCAAAGAGTGTGAAATAAAGTTTAAACATTTAATTCTCCCAGAACTAGCGGCTAAGTACTAAAGTTAAATGAAGAAAATATACATTTAAATATAAGTATAAAAAATTGTTATTGCAATGGAAAAGATGGCGAGCTGTTTCCATGCAATAACATTGATTAATTGAGAAAGCTATGTCATTTAAAATGTTTAAAGTTAATCAATAAACCAAATAAGAAATGGGTGTGTCCAGATTGTAAACAACATTTTAATAAAAAATTATAAAATACTTTCATTTTTGAGGACATAGAGGAGCAGCTATTGCATATCAGAAGAATTACTTTTGTAATAGTTTATATTAGCAAACCAATTTAAAACTATTTTAATTTCAAAAAAATAATTTCATCATTGTTGTTTTTTATATAAAAACTTATGAGGAAGCATAAGGAATTACTTAAGCTTCATCTAAGAGGTAATTTTTGAGTTTACGTTAAAAGCAGGGACCATGTGTTTTAGAAAAAAAACTTTAGAAAACCCTTTCTCCTTTCCTGGTTTTCAAATCTTTCCGAAATAAGATATATTTTTTAAATATAAAATTAGCTTTTCAACTTCTTGCAGTTCTAATTTTATTGACTAATGTTAAGGGGCCATCCATAAAGTACGTACGCAGTAAAACCACTGATTTAGGATCCCCTCCTTCCTTCTACGAACCTGTACGCTTTTTAAGACCACCCCCTCCGCGTACATATGCTTTTTTTTTTTTAATGGTAGTTCAATAAATACAGAAGAAACTGTTGAGTTTCTAACTTCAAAACGATAGGCAAGGTCTCTTAAGGTTAAATTAAGACATAATCTCATGAAAGACAAAGTCAATTTGCTGAACTTTGACAACACCGATCTCAATGCATGGGGTATATCACTCACGGTAGTTTAATATTTAACAATCGCGGCATTTTATAATGCGCATGCGCAACTTTTATTAAAAAAAGATTGTTGTTTTGTTTTTATTTTGTAATTTTTTTTTAGCCATATCCTTAAAAAGTAGCTCATGGCTTTGCTATAAAGATGTATAATTGATATCCCATTATTTAAATTGATTTAAATATGGCGATGGATATGTATTTTTTCACAACATTTAAATTTTTAAATTTTAGAGTCTCTAAATACGCGGGAAACTCAGACTTGAATATATAGCTATGTATACTGATAAAACTGGATAATTAAGCGCTAATTTAAATTTTTTGGCTTTAAATTCTAATATATTTTAAAACAAGAAGAGTTTATCTATTTATTAAAAAAAATAACTAGACTTGGGTTACTTTTTTAAGTTTAAAAACAGTGTACATTAAATCCTATTATTTAGCTATAAATAAATATAAAAATGACTGAGTCTCATATAACAAAACTAAAAAAATTATGTCGAATATGCGGAGAAAAACTTGGAAATCGTAGTGTTCTTTTAACAAAGCATGTAGTTAGAATAGAATTGAATTTTTTTATACGAATCAACGAGGATGACCCAAAGATGCACCCACAGAAGATGTGTTACAGATGCTTTACAATAATGAGAAACATAGAAAAAGGTTCAAATACTGATCTTAAATTAAGAACTTGGATTAGCAATTGCCAGAAAGATGAATGTATTTGTTTCAAAGTAAATAAAGGAAGGAAACCAAAGAAAACTGTAAAAGGAAGGCCCTTAAGTATTGTAAATGAAGAAATTTGGACTCGACAAGCAATAAATAACATACAAGCTAAACTTTCATCTCTACCAAATTTAAATCTGAAACTACAAGACATTAACCAAAAATTAAACCCACATGTACATCTTTGTGTCTGTTATATTTGTAATGGTATTATGTATAAACCAGTTATTTTAAAAAACTGTCTGCATTCGTTTTCTGCACCATGTATATTACCACTAATCAATGGTAAACTATTATTTAAAACAAAATGCCCTAAATGCTCCTTTTCAATTTCAATTGATGGAATAACCTCCTCTAGCGATGTTATTGAAATGATAAATAATATTCAAGAAGAATGTAAGCAACATTGCGGTAGATTATTTAAAGTGTCACAACAATCAGAACGCTTCAACCATCAAAATAATTGTCAGACTCCAATACCAATTTCCACAACCTTGTCAACACCCTCATCACAAACAACTCTAACAGATATATTTGCATTAAATTCAACAAGTGTTATCACAAGGGATATTGATGCTGTTGCACTTCATATTATTAAACAAAAAATGTTGCAAACAACATCCAATGTAATAGAATTTCAGACAGATGGACCAAGGGTAAGATTACTTTAGTAAAAAATTACTATTACAAAATTATTCAACTTTAATTTTAATAAACTATAATAACATATAAAACGTTCACAAACTACATAGTATTTTAGCCTTTATGCTTCACATCAACACCAAAAGCCTATAGAGAAAGTAAAGATGCAACTTTACGAACAGTTCGCAAACGACAATCACAGTTAAACGATTACATAAGCACAACATGTGGTGAAAGCATTAGGTCCAAAATCAACCAAACCACTACTCTTTTGAAATCATTCAATGAAAATGAACAAGAAATTATTCTAAGTAACTCAAATATTTCAAAAACCAAAATATCAGCTGAAGAAATAATAAGTTTAAAAGCTAACATGAGCAGTACTTATGCCAACATGAAAATATTATCTAGGTAAACAAAATTAAAACTATTGTATAAAAATCTAGAAAAAAATGTATTGAATAAAAATCACAACCTTTTCAAAAAAACAAATGCATTATTGTTTTAGGTGGTTGAAAACCAAGAACATCATTTGTGTTTCAAACGCACAACAAAGAAGCCTGGCTAAGAAATGGTCATGTGATGATCTTATTATTGAAAAAGCTCCATTTATGGTTGAAAAAAAGGAGTCCAAAGGTTCTTTTGAAATAAAAGAATTGCCATGTGCTTATATTAACAATCTGCATGGACATATAATAAATGTGCTAGATAGATTAGAAAGGTAAAAACAAATCTTGCTTATAAAAGTACTTGTATTATATCTTTCTTTAACAATTTCTGACTTGGAAGGTTTAGATATAATACTACAAAAAAATACAAAAATAAATTTATTTGGCACACATTCAATATAAATAAAAAAATCAGTTCTAAAATTTCATTTTCTATAATATATTTTTGCAACAACTTACTATTGAACAAAAAGATTAAAAGCAATGAAATCCATATAAAAATAGGAGGCGACCATGGAGGTGGCTCGTTCAAAATGTGTTGCCAAGTAGTGAATGTAGAGAAACCTAATGCAAAAACAAACACAACTGTCTTTAACATATTTGAAGCAAGTGATTGTAAAACAAATCTGAAGTTTTCACTGTCAAGATTTAAATCAGAAATCGATTTGTTGCAAAATACCATTTGGAGGTAAGAATATGTTACAACCAACTAAATAATCAAAATATTTAAAACAAAATTATTTATGTTGTTTGTGATTAATTTGAACCTATATAACTATTATTAAATGTAGAGAAAAACAGATTCGTGTATTTTTATTTGGTGATTACAAATTCTTGTGTGCAATCTATGGAATAACTGGTGCAACTGGTAAGTAAATATTTGATATATACATATCCATTTAAAAACTCATATGGAGCATATTCCTGCTATATGATTGATTTTGTTTTTTAAGTATTGAACTGTTTGATAACCTCAGGTAGACACCCATGCCTGTTTTGCAACATCACAAGACAAGGAATGTCAACTCCAATTAAGGACAACATTGAAATGCGATCACTTGAGACACTAGATTCACATTTAGAAAAATATAAAAATCATGGTTCAGATCCCAAGTTTGCCAAGCTATGTAATAATGTTATTGACCAAAGGTTATTTAATGTGCCACTTGATCAGGTACTTTGCTTTAAATAATTATTTTCCAACTAACATCCGTAACTTTTATTTTAATTACAACAAAAGTGATTGTTAACAATAATTTAATATTTTTATTGCAATTTAAGATCGGAATTCCAGCATTACACATCTCACTTGGTACGTATTTAAAATTCTTTAACATGTTAGAAGACTCTTGTCATACAATTGATGTCAAAATTGCAGGTCGAATGGCAGTAAATAACCAAACACTTGAAGACTGTGAAGAGTTTAACAAATATATTGAGAAGCAGCGTCAAATAAAACAACTTCAGATAAGTATTCAGGATCTTGAAAATAAAACATGTATCATAACAGAAGCACTTGAAACTCACATATTATCTAACCCTGAAAATGAAGAATATATAAAGTTAGTATTTGAACCACGCATAATTCACTTTGAAGAGAAAAAAAAAGAAAAGGTAAACATTTAAAATTTTATTGTTCACTAAAAATATAAATCATAAACAATACATTTTGCTTGGATCCTAATAGATGTTATTTCTAACATTTTATGTTTTGGTATTTTTTATTTATATTAGTATTTTGTATTTATAAGAGAATCAATAGCCATATTTATATTCATAGATCTCAGAATTGGAAATAATGAAAGAAACTGACCATGTAAAGATGTCATTTGGTCCACTAGTAAATAAACTCGACGAGGTACTTAATTTGTTAGGAGTGCAAAGACAAGCATACCATGGGAAAAGTTTTGTTGGTAACCATGTTAACAAAATGTTAAAGGTAAACTAATCATTTAGTTCTTAAATATAGAGTAGTATATTCATTAATTACAAATTAAGAAAAAAGTATATTTTTATAGGAATGATCAGTATGTATTTGTTTATATGTATATCTAATATATATATATATATATAAAAAGTGAAATTTAACATATATAACTTATTTGATTTAAAAAACATTATTAGATGAAAAGTATCCTCGAACTATGCAACTCAATACCAAAGCTCGTAGTCGAACTTGGGTTCAAGGATACTGACATACATAAAGAAACTATTGAACTTTGTCAGAACTTTAAAGTCCTATTTGATAAGTTTGGGGTTTGCCACAAGCTTATTAACTCCTGCAAGCAGTTCAATGAAGAAAACATTCAAAATCTTGGTATGACATGTAATATTATTATTAAGTATATATATATATATATATATATATATATATATATATATATATATATATATATATATATATATATATATATATATATATATATATATATATATATATATATATATATATATATATATATATATATATATATATATATATATAATATTACATAATATTTATATATAATTGTTTACAGAAAATCGTATTGAAGATTTTATTAAATACTTTCGTGATAACTGGCCAAATGAATCAATTACACCTAAGCTTCATATGCTTGAATATCATGCATCATCTTTCATTAGGAAATGGGGAGTAGGACTTGGTACATATGGAGAACAAGGTGCAGAAAGTATTCATGCTGAATTCAACAGCATGAAGAGTACCTACTGGCACATAAAAGGAAAACGTTAACTCAAAAGTATAATGGATGAACACTTCTTAAAAAACCATCCAACAGTAAAAAAATATCAACAAAAAGCTCTGCCTAAAAAGAGGAAAATTGAAGATACTTAAAATAATCTTATAAAACAATGCAAAAGAGTTTTCAGGAAATAAATGGCAGTATTATGGCGTAAATATTATTTCTGCCAGTATTTTTAAACCTTCAGATAAAAAGAAAAATTGTCAATTTTTAAAAGCATTAAATTAAAACAAAAAAAAGTTACCCAGTTATAATTTTAGCTTTAAATGATTCACACACTACTATAATTTCAAAAAAAACTAAAGGTAATGGCTAAAAAATTTACAATTTAAAATATAGGCCATAATGTAAGCACAGGTTAAACATTCCCAAAAAAACAACAAAGTTTCACTTTAGTTCCACATCTTCTCTTCTCCTAAAATTATTTAAATGATAGCTTTGGTAAAATCTACCATACCTAAAATATTGTTTTGACATAATTTCTTAGAGATAATTTAGCATTATCCACATATAATTAAAGTTTGAAGTGTATACAACTTTAGTGAGAAATCCCTTTTTAACCGCGATCGCTTATGTTTACAAATATTTGAACAAAATTTGACGCATGCGCGTGTTAAAAGTCCATTACTAAACCACCGTGCACTACATGTGAAGTCATACTAAGTCATGAGCATTTTAATATTTGTTAGACCAGTATAAAATGCCACTTCGCTATTGGTAGTAGACCATTCCATAGTTCCAATTTTATTTTATATCAAGGGATTTAATTATTTTTGCTGAGATGTCTATTTGTGTTGGTCCATTTATATTATTTAGCTCAACATTAAAATCAATTTCATCATTAGCTTCATTATTTCCGGTAATAGTGATGCCACTTTCAATAGACATATCAGTACAGCATTCATTAGTTATTATTTTATCAGTTTTCATAACTCCAGAATCATGTTGTCACTTTTTTATTCGAATGAATATTACGCTGTTTAAACTTTTGCATTTAAAGCCCATTTTGAGTGTTGGGTTCCAATCAGGGTGTGTCTTTTCAAATAGTTTTGAAGGTTTACCTGAAAACATAATAATATAGATACTTCACTTGTTTACTTTATTTAAAGTAAATAAATCATACTGCGTTTGTCCAACCAATGTAAAACAGTTTTCTTTCTAGTAGTTTGTTTACTATATTATCTTAAAGATATAAATATCATTTCTAATAAATGATATTTATGTCATTAAGATTTTTGAAGTATTTCAGTAAATAAAAGTATTTCAGCAAATAGAAGTATTTTTATTTTTCTAATTCTATATTATAATAAATGTTTTATTATAAAATAGAATTAGAAAAATAAAAATACTAGAAAAAAGAATGTTTCACAGTGATTGGACAAACGCGTTTGTAAAATTTATATTTTAAAAGTATAATATGAAATCATATTATACTTTTAAAATATAATATATACTTTTCTTAATTTATGTAATTTATATTACGAGTTTATAAAAGTATGTAAAATATAGTTCATAAAAGAGTTTTATAAACTACATAGTAAACTTTATAGTTTATAGACTACATAAAAATGTAGTTTATATAAGATTGAGAAATATTAAAATTTAACTAACCCGAAAAAAAATGATCATAACAAACTCTGTAGTGACTGGCATTGCAATTAACATCCTTGCGTTTTATAACAGCAAACCAATTTGCTCTTCTTTCTGTTGACAAAAGTTCAGTATCTTTATCATGGTGAGTTATAATCTTTGGAATTCGATAAAACGATTTCTTGCAGTTTTCAGAACGATTGCTGCAATTGAAAATACAAAATACCATTTTTTTAAAAATTGATAAACAATAAACTCAAATATAGCTAACGAAGAAAACCGTATATGATAAATCAAACTCAAGTTGTTTGTGAACCAACATGGGAGACAAAAGTATTTTATTTTGAGTGACGTCATCTCGGAACACCGAATAGATACATAATTTTTAAAATAAAACTATAAATGCCACATATTCCAAAAATTAGACTGAAGAGACTGAATCAAGGCATAAATGGACATTGCAAAATAAACAAAAAACACAGATGGTATCCTTGTTTTAAAACATGTTGGGTTAGTTGACAGACAACAGTTCCTGATGATATCTTTTCTAGTCCATCAATATCTTTTCCAGTGTAAATCAAGATCTCTGATATGTACCCGGTAGATGGCTCTGCCATCACCCAAACTTTTATTCCAAATCTTGTACGTTTGCTTAGAATAAATTGTCAGAAAGAGATTCTTCCTTTAAAAGGTCTCATACTCTCATCAATGCAAATGTCTCTTTTTGGTTTATGAAGATTTCTCAACTTAGGACAAAGGTCATCTAGAAACATACGTACCTTGAAGAGTTTGTCGTATCCTTTATTACCCCTTGGTATTGCTGCTGTCTCATTGCAAAAATGAGATGAAACGGTGAATTTGTCTAAAATCGATCACGAAACATTACCATACTAAAAAATGGAATAGCAAAAAACCAAAGTTTTTGTCTCGAGTAATCATGTAGGCATGAAAGTTTTATTATTCCCATGGCTAAACAAATTGCTATAAATACTTTGATATTATTTGACGTAACATCAACCCATACCATTTTATGCTTTATAGGAGAAGATTGTAACCTTCTTGAATGGTAGTTATTTGTTTCAGCATTAAAGAACAACTCAAAGAGATGGATTGGTTTAATATTTTTATCGCAATTAGGTATAGCAGATCTTTTAAATGTTGGTCCTGTTGTTGCGATAAATGGAGTAATAGTTCTAATAATTTTATTTTTTTTCCATTTTCTATTATCTTTACTAATAGTAAACTTCTTGGTCTTAATGGCATGAAGTCGTTTACTAGTTGATTGTTTACAGATTTTACTTTTATTATTTACAGTATCAATGCTATCAGCAAATGCTATTGTAGAGAGTCCTTTATTATCATTAGTTACTAAATTATTAATAGAAAAGGCGACATCTATATTTTTTGTTAAATCATCTTCGGAACTAACATATTTTTCAGATGATGAAGATGAAATTATTTCTGATGATGATGACTGACTTGGTGATAATGACATTGTCAATGGAGCTGTTGTTGAGAAAATATCAGGCACCATTTCTTGGAATTCGTTGTCATCAGACTCAAAAAACAAATCACTAACATCGTCTTTTTCATCAAGGATTTGAAGAACTTCATTTGGATCATTTATAATCCTATTTCTCAAAGCCATCTTGGCTGAAACTACATATATTTTTGTCAATTATCTTCAGTGTTTTGTACATAAAAACTATCCGTAAATTAAAAATTCCAAATCATCCTAAGCTCAATTTATATGTGTAGAAGCACAAAAGATTAATATTTAAGACGACAAAGGCTTGAAGTATAACCTTTTAGAGAGGTTTTTTGATTAGTATATCCAAGGCGCACATATGTGCGCCTTCGGTACGAAAGAGTTAAACCAAATTTAATATTTTATAGAGAAAATAAAGTAAATAGGCGTTGGCTATCATATAGTTTGGAAGAAAATACTCTATTTTGTACTATGTGTTTGGCTTACAGTGATATTACTAACGAGAGTTCATTTGTAAATCGTGGATTGACGGACTGGAGGCACACTTTGCAAAGTGTTAAAAAACATGAAAATAGAAAAACTCGTGAAAATTGCATAAATTGTCATATGCTCAAATCTAAAGGCAAAGATATTTATAATTTAATGTTCACAAATGAAGGAAGCATACGTCAGAAATTATTGAACGAAAACAAGTGTTGGAAAGAATTAAAGATGTTGTAAAATTAATTGGAAAAAGAGGATTAGCTTTTCGCACTCACCGATCTGAATTTGTTTCTTCACTTTCACTTGAAATTAATCAAGAAGACTATTATAATTTTTTATAAATAATATTGCTACTCTTTAAATATGACGCTGTTTTAAAATTACATTTATCAAGAGTCATCAAAGAAAAGAAGAGAAATAATGAAACATCTGCGGTATCTAAAGGAAGAGGCAGTTTCATTTTATTAATTTCAAAATCTACTACTAACCTGCAGCCATATTCACATCTCTCCGTTAAACCCTGCGTTAAGCTAACGGCTGGGTTAAAATTTAACGGCAGTTTTAACGCCATAGTTAAATTAAATTCGTATTCTCGTGTCCTCCGTTCAGTTAAAATAAAGTTAACGGAAGATAATTAAACGGTAAAATCTAACTTTGCTATATCCTACAGTTAAAACCGAAAACGGAGAGATTTTCTAATATATTAAAAATGGTATTCAAATAAAATAATATGTATTTACATATATATATATATATATATATATATATATATATATATATATATATATATATATATATATATATATATATATATATATATATATATATATATATATATATATGTATATATATATATATATGTATATATTTACACATATAAACATGTTTATATATACGTTTAATATATAAATATATGTATATATAAATAAAATGTAAACCAATGTTGGAACATTAAATGAAAAGGAACATTTAATGATAATGAAACAGAAAAGATAAAATTTTGAGCAGAATCGTGTTCATAAGAAATTTATAAGCACAAAAGAAACAGTTTAAAATGTTTAGTTATAATTTGTTATTGTTTTTGAAAAAAAATTTAACTTGTTAATAGTAGCTGATTTGAATATCTCAAATGCGAAGCAATATCTCAAAAGCGAAACAACATGGAGATCAATTAACCATAACTAATATTAATTTTAGCAATTGTTCGACAGAAAAAATCTGGAAACTTAGGTTCTTTTTATTGAACAACTTTAATTTTTCTCTTTAAGTGTACATTTTATAAATAAATATATTTACAGAGCACGATTTTTTTTTTTAATTTGCGATGATTTTTTGAAAATATATCTACATTTATTATTTTGAAGCTTTAGATGAAACCGACAGGTTTACCTTTTAAAAAAAGCTTCCTTTAAGTGACAAAAGCACGCTTACAGATTCATATACATTAATGGAAGCCTCTTGAAAAATGATGTACCACTTTTAATAGATATTCAGTGGGGCGATATATACACATATCTCGTTAATACACTTAAACAGAGCCAACACTTAAATAAGAATAAGAAGGTCTATAAGTCTCTTAAAGAACATTTCTTTTATTTTAGCAACTGTGTAGTACCAAAGTTATTTTTTATTTGAGACAGGGCCAAGAAAAACAAACTGTATGATTTATAAGTTGCCTTTAACAAAGTAGGTGGATAGATATTTAGAGGAAATTGCACATGAATGAAAAGATGATAAAAAATTAAAAATAAAAATGTTATTAGCATAACATATAAATTTTTTTAAACATATGCTAAATAAACTATATTATTTTTTTAGTCTAGGTTCTTTATGCAGCCGTGTAGCAGCTTTTCTTTTTAAACTAGAGACATGAGTTAGAATTTAAATAAAGTTGTACTCACAAACTTTGTGTGTTGGAACAGATCCAGAAAAAAAAAGCAGAACCATTAATGCGACTGATGAAAAATCACTTACCTTTTTCAACAAAAAAAAATCAAAGATCCAAAAAGAAATTAGTCATTTTCTGGAAATGCTGTAAGGTTTAACGATGATTGTTCACAAAAACTCAGTTTGATTGCCCCAGAAGCAGGTTTTTTGCAGGTGTAGTTGGTCTATCACCAATATTGGATCATAGTTTTAGTGACAACGCTGTATTTGCTGACGAAATTTTAACCAGAGATAATTACTTTTTTGTCTGACAATGATGGAACTAATCTTGAAAAATCTTTGAGACTTTAGATTGTCGAATGTTAATGAATACAAAAACAGTTATATCAATGCAACTTTATCATATTGGCAGAAGTAAAACTCAAAACCTGTCGAATAAATGGAACTTGCATCGAGCTGATAGAATTACAGCATCCGCATTCCATAAAGTTGAAAATAAAAACTACATAACTTCACTAAATTTAGCAACTGTTACTAATGGTAGAAAAATAAATAAAAGAGCACGTCATTTTTATATTAAATCGTTAAAAAAATCAAAACAATTACAAATTAAAAACAACTGGTTGTCATATCCAAGCTAATTATCAATATTCAGGAGCGTCGCCAGATAAATTTTAATTTACATGTCAGAAAAGAGGTTTAGTAGAAATCAAGTGTCGTAAAAATGGTAATTTAAAAACAAGAAATAAGTATTATACTCAAATACAAGGTGAAATAATGGTTTAGAAATTTGTAGAAATTTATAGAATTTATTTTGTAGATATAAAAATTTGTGACTTTATTTAGACACCTTTAGAAAATGAAGAAAATTACCAATTAGTTTAGAGTTAATCGAAAATTTATTAATGAGATAAAGCAGGCATTGCACAAATATTATTTTCCATATATTTAATCAGAAACTGTAATAAAAGAAAACGATAGCAATTAGCAGAAAAGCCATTGTATTTGTAAACGCCCGTGCTTTAAATCAATGATTTCATCCAGTTAACATAGTTGTAAAAAAAAAAGGTTTCACTACTTATGCGTTAATAAAATTCACTACTTATGCGAAAATGCGTAACTCGTTTCAAAACGAATTAGGATTTCTTTAAATTGTTTAAAATAATCATAGTCTATATCTATAACCACATATCTATAATCATAGTCCCTGGTCTGGAAGCTATTGTTTTATTCTTTTGTTTTCCGAGTTTTTTTAAAAAAAGTCACGCGATCAATGTAGCTGCAAAACAAAGATTTAAATGTCTAACGCTTTAAGATACTCTCAACAAAATACAGTAGAAATCTTAGTTTTTATTTTAAATAGCGATGATTTTGATGAAAAAAATTGAAATAGAAATTGAAGACACAGGTTTAGAGGTAAAAATTATAAAACAAAAATAAATTTAAATCTTGTATTTTTTACAGTTTTAAATAGGGTTTCTCATTTCCCGTAAATTTAGCATCCCGGGATTCCCGGTGTGTAACTTATTTATCCCGGGATTTCCCGGCATAATTTTTAATATAATAACAAGCGGTTTCTGACACAAATTTATCTTAGCACGCTAATCTATATTACTATTTAAAATGAAATATTGTTTTAAAAAACATAAACAATCAATTGATTTGTCACTTAATCGTGAACGAATTTTTCCCATAAATAGACCCGCGGCAGAAAAAGCCCTTTCTGATTCAATTGATGTCGGCTTGATGGTCATTAATGTTGAGTATATTCTTTCTAAACTTTCGCTACGCTTTCCAGTTGCCTCAAAAAGTTTGATTTCTTTTGTGAGGTTTTTTAAATTGCTAATGTTTTCTAGAGCTGCTTTTTCTACTTGTTTGACATTACAAATAGTCGCATCCAATTTTTGTTCAAGCGTCAAAATACTTTTGCCTAATAAATATGGAGCAACAGGTTGAGGTATTGACGGGTCAGAAACCATGCTTTCATTATCACGACTCACTTCAACTATTTCATTATTTGATGAACTAAGGCT